CGACCGGCAATTGAATTGGGAGATAAAGAACAGAAAGCTTTAATTGAAGAAATGTGGAAACAAGACTCCAGAGAGAGACCTGATATGGATAGAGTAGTAGATTAACTCAACAAAATATATCAAACAAATTATTGAATGATGGTAATTTAATTTAATAATGATTTTTTAATTAAATAATTATTGAACTTTAAGATACAAAAATGTATAGCTTGAGTGATAAAAAGGCTTGTTAACAATTGAATTAACAATTTGAGTGTGTTTATACCTTTTGAAATTAATAACTTCATAATTTTTATATTAATGAATTATCAATACAATTATTCGATAAATTGTGTTATTTAAGTTAAATTGGTTAAAATATAGAATACGATAACACAAAGTGTTGTTGTATTTTTATTTTTAATACACTTTCAATCGTGTAATTCAAATTCAAACGTTATATAAAGTTGAAATCTATAAACAAAAACCATGTCATTAACAAAAGTGTCACTTTACGTTCAATGTTTGACTACTGTATGTTTATTAACCTTATTTCAAAAATCGGACCCAGTGTTATTTTTAGACCTTTTTGTGTTTTTTCGTCTTTTTTGTTTTATTAAAGTACTTTTACTTACTCGGAGACTTTCTTAACAATATGATAGAACGACTATTTTTTGTTCGACTTACATTGGTTTCAGCTTAAATTTCTTAAATAATTCGGACCTTGTTTTTATTATTGAAAACGGTCTGATTAAATTTTTTTTTAAAAATTAAAGAAAAATCATTTATAATATTAAAAATGTATTGTTGGTATTATAATTGTTTTCTATTTTTATGTAAAAATCCTCAAATTTAACGGTATACAGCACGGTCAGGAGGGTTTGACTTGTTGTTCAGATTTTTGGGGTTGAATCCTTTAGTATTTCTCGCTATCGGACCAGTCGTTAGTGATATCTATACTGCAAGAAGAGGAAGGAAAAGTTTTTTCTACAATCCAGATGACAGATTGTTGTTGCTTTATCTATTTTTTCGTTACAACAAAATTGTACTAATTAGAAATCTTTGCATTCATTATATAAAAACAAACGAACAAATTGTTAGGGAAGTGAATGAAAGTGCTAAGCTGTTTAAAGTTGTCATGAAAGATTCGTTTATCATATTTAATAATGAAAATTTTCAAGGAACAAATGTGAGTGCTATTGTTGATTGTACAATAACACCAACTAACGCTCCAAGTGGAAGTTTTTCTTCTAAGATGTCGTTCTACAGTGGTAAGTACAAGAGGTATTGTATTATAATTGAAGTTGTTGTTAACTCTGTTACTGGGACTGCATGTTTTGTTTCAGAAGGAGAACCAGGTGCTTCTCATGATATGAGATTGTTAAAAAAAACTTCTGATGATATTAACTCCATGCTCAATGGTACTAAACTCATTGGCGACAAAGGTTTTAAAGGAATTCAGTCGCTTATCCCCAATGGTTTTGTTCCAACAGAGTCTCCACTTTTGGAAAATAGATGTCTGGTTGATCCTTACTTTGGACGTCTCAAAACTGTTTATGCATTTGCCAGAGAGAAATACAACAAAGATACTGTAATATACGACGATCTAATAACTTTATGTTGTTGTTTCTGTAATGTGGATATTGGAATCAACCCGCTTATTAACGTAGATCAGACAAATTATAAAAATATTTAAGCAAATTTTGTGAATAAAAATGATGAAAGAAGAAAAAAGCACAGAGACAGCAACACAGTTTATCGAAGAAGACAACAAGCTCAAATTATTGTATTAGAAGAAGCAGAAAATCGGTCTCATCTATTTGAAGATGATCGTTATGATGGAGAAACAATATATACACCGGGTCAACTTGATGGCGATGAGACTGGGACGGAACTTTAACAATAAATGAATTGTTTTTGTTATTACAATTCGAATAATTTACTTAAAATAACGGGAATATTAAATGATCATAGGGTTATCATATTAAATTAAATAGATGTCTAATTAATTGTTACAAAGTGAATAAGATCTAATCTTCTTAAGAAAAAACAAAACACAAACAATATAAAAAGATTAAACTTAAAATAACAAAACAATTGAATATTAACTAAATATAATTTATGTTTTTGGAAATGAACTAATAGAATACTACTTATATTCGGGATATAACATTAACTTATAATCATTATTTATTCATTTTATTTAAATCTAGTCGATGTGTTTGTTGCATTTACAGTCGGCCGAATCAACCTTCTGCAATGAAACAGCCTTCTGTGGATTGTTTTTCAAAAATAACCATAATTAATAACAATTCAAACCATTTTTAATAGTATTTTTTTCAAGTTCAAATAAATATATTTTTATCCATAGGAGTATATTAATACACTTTCTGCAGTATATAATTGGTCTTATAAATATCAAAAAGTAAAAAAAAATAAAACCAAACTAAAAACGAACAGTACTCAGTTAACAAACGATTAAACATAGACACGGAGCCAGACAACATTCTCGTGTTTTCAATTGATTTTAGTTACGAGGTGATAGCAAAATTGACAGACTTTAGAAATGTAAATGTGTTGATGACTAACATTGCATTTACTTAAAAGGTGGTACATCAACATACATGGCGCCTATGTGTTAAACATGGAGATGAAC